CCCCAAAACCCCAAAACCCCAAAACCCCAAAACCCCATTTATATAAAATTTAAATAAAATATATTCAAATTCTCAATATGTTTCGATCATACCAAAAAAGTTCAAGCAGAGGGTCCTCTATTAGGTCAAATAGGAGGAATATAGGAATGTCGATTGGTAACCCAGGCCAAAGAGGAATGTCAAGGGATTATAGTACAAATATAGCTTTAATAATTATAGAAACTCATAATAGAAAGTTAAATAATACACAGAACCATAACTCATCCGTAGCTCTAGGTAAGCATTGCTACAGTGGGTGCTTAATACTTCATCGAATTCATGAAGGGTAACTTTATGTAGACAAAGTAAACTCTCTGAGTAAAGTGAACAGTAGTTTTATGGAAGAGAATAAACTACCAGTCCTTGGATTGAGAAAATATATGATTGATACATCATTTGATCCCAATAAACCAATGTAGGTGTTCCTGCTGTTCTTACCTAACCTAATATAGAAACCCCTTCAATGTGAACAGAAATACTGAGAAGTTACTTATGAACAGAGAAAGAGAAAGACTCAAGGAGAGAGTCATGCGAGAGCATCGGAAGGGAGCCAAAGTTCATCAAAAGACTATTGCCGGCCGTACTAACAGAGCAGGTGTTATTCGACAGATCAATATGTAAGCTTCTTTAATTCATACACAGGGTCGGTACCAATAGCACCACTTCACAAGACAACAAAGACATAAGAGAGAACTTCCGGGATTTTAAATAAAGCTAGTGCAGTTCAAGATGGAGAGCAAACTTCTATGGTTCAAAAGGCTAATATATTCGATATGACAGAGGCAGATCTTGAAAATTTTGCGAATGGAAAGTACACCGGGCCTACTGACCAAAAAGCGTAAGGTTTTGCTCACCCCTAGAATCCAAAGCAAGGATCAGGCCTCTCGACAAAGAAGGGCTAGTAGTAGCAGACCTCCAGAGCTAGAGTCCTTATCTGACAACCAGCTTGAGCTGCATATCTCGAATAAGGATTATTTACAGAGTAAGGATAGGGATTTGGACTATAATTCTGCACTGAGGCGGCTAATCTTTCAGTGAGAGTTAGGGGTTGGGTCAGGGGAGGGAGCCAATAGCTGCAGAAGGGAGAGAAAAGGGATTTGTGAGAGTAGAAGAACAGGAAATGAAAAAATTGGGGTTAAAGGGTATTTTAGAGAGGATTTTAGGCTGTTTTAAGCAGGTTAGCTTGCGGAAAATTGAAAATAAGAGATTAGAGAATATGACTTTTTGTAGGAAAAAGAGTACCTTTGAGGATAAGGGATAACAATTTTTATATGAATTTTTAGAATATAATATAGTTCTTGTGGATATAACTTCTTAAATATAAAAGATAGTAAATACCAATAACCAAATTTAATTCAAAAATCTCATAATTTATCCAACTTATCTAGGAGTTCCCAAAACCTTCAATAACCAAAAAGAATCAATCCGTGACTTTATAAACCACGGTCGTGAGATTCTCATTACCCAAATCACCATCAACGACAAGATAGAAGAGACTAAGCATCTTCAAGAATTCATTGAGAGTGAAGAAGAGCAGCTAAAGGAAGGCAGGAGATTATTTGAAGAAGATAAGCAGAAGTTTATGAAGTACTTAGAGAACCAAGAGAATCAGACCAACCAGGCTAGCTTAGAGAGTAAATAAACTTGCTGAGCAAAAGCAGAGACTTATGGATGAAATCCTCGAACTCAACAAGAAAATGAATGAAACAGATACAGAAATGCGGAAGGTAGAAGACCTTCTCAATGAGTTTAAAGAATGCAAGGACTTCATAGATAAGTTAGCCGAGTTCAGAAGTGTCAGGAACGAAAGCGAAGAAGTATCAGATACAGGAAATGCCCCTAACACTTTCCTCACACAGAAAGAAAACGGCTCTGAGCCCTCTAACTCATCAGTCTCTGACGAATCCCATGTAAATGAGTTCAACTACGAAAGAAGGATCGGGTTTGACAAGGAAAAACTTCTAGCCCTGTTCCAAGACATTGAGGAAAAATAACTTGTTCCTCATAAACAATATTCAGGACGAAGAGCAGATCCTAGAGTACATCTACAAGAACAAGTCATTCTTAATAACCCGCAAGAAGGCTGAAATAGATAGTAATCTTTCTCCTGTTAACTCATAGACGTCAAGAAGAACATCGAGATCACGACTTCTACGATAAAAACCCTACTTTCAGGGATGGAGCCACTAGAGTAAGGCCCGCCTCTGCCACCTCTAAAATCTGTAATAGGAGAAAACCCAAGATTGCTAAAGAAAAAGAAGAGGAAAGGAAAGACAAGAAGAAAGTTGAAGACCCGGAAGAGATCAGGAAGAGAGAAATCAATGAACGAAGAATCAAGGAAAAATCTTTAGTTTATGGGTCAAAGGGGCCTAATAAATCACTCAAAGCTGAAGAAATCGAACTTCTTAGCCTTATAGAGTATAGAATGTATATGGAGAGGTAAGCACAAGGATTAATGTACAGGACAAATAAAGCATTGCTTGATAAAGTTGAGTATGAGATTAACCAAGAAAGAAAAGCACTCAATCATATCAGGAATAAAAACCTTGATATTGAAAAAGCTAATAGAAAGAAACAAAAGAATCTTCAGAAACTTGAAGAATTCGAAAATATGAAAATCTTTAGAGGACGTCCAATGATGAAGAGGATGGGCAAGGAAGAGATTAAAGAAAATGTGCAGAAAAGGAACCTCAAGGATGAAATCCATGAAGATTATAAGCGCTATGTGGCAGGTTCTTAATTCTCAATATTTCACTTGATTTATGGGGTTTTGGGGTTTTGGGGTTTTGGGGTTTTGGGG